TTAAAAGTAAAGCAACCAAAAAAAACAAGAGAAGCAATTATGATGAACTAGATACTAAGGTATACCCCACTTAGCATTCCCCAGCAGAGTCGCCAGTTCTGCGATATGGTTGCAGAACCGACTGTTTTTGAAAAATTCTGGTTTGCGTTTTGCATTTTTCATTCGCAAAATGTCGCGGTAAGCAAGAGTGGCCACCGACTTTTATTTCATCCAACCGGAAAGGAAAAAAGCACAGAAAAAAAATCCTTTTTCGAGATATTCTGAGTACGTGGGGTAGATTATAGAAAGGGAAGGTGTTAGAACCCTTTCTATCCGTGGTTTTCCATGGACTCTTAGGTACTTGCTCATCATTTTAAATTGCTTGTGTGCGTGTTTGTTTTGAAAAGTTTTGTTTTACTTCGTTTTAACCCTTGTTTCTGTCCTCAAGAGTGTTACGAAGTTGTTTTTGAAAACTTTGTTTGAAAAAGTGTAAGTGTGAAAAGTTGTTTGTTTTGAGCAAGTACCTAACAGTTATCTACCTACTCGAAAAAAGGTCGTTTCTGTTTGTTTTCCTTTTAGACAATGCTATCCCATTATTGAGAAATAGGTAGCATCATCGTTGGAGTTGTAAAGGTCAATTCGTAAGGGACGTACGATCATTAAAGCAATGTTAGGACGTCTTAGAAATAAACCTAAAGTCTTAAGATCATATTCGAGGCAACATTTTCGAGGCAACATTTCCGAACAGGATTTTTGATCTTTGTTAGACAGGAGGGAAACCACTACGACACCCTATACTTAAGGATCATTTACCGAAGGAAACCGAAGTGAGAGTATACCCTAGGAGTGCACATGTGCGAGTGATTGATTTCAGTTATTATCTTTGCACATTAGGGTTTTCTAGCCGTTTTAAATTATCACGCAGTCTTGTCATACAATCCTATCAACATACATCTAAACAGTTAATATTTGCGAGAATTAAAATGCGAGAAAATAAAACCTACGCTATTACAAGGCTTCGTGGTAGGGATTAATTACATAGCCAAAAAACCCCGTAAAAGACGATAAATAAAGAAAACTCTAATTTAAACTATTACATACCGAGGACAGTTACATTAATATTGCAAAAATAATAAACACGCGCGATGAATCGAATGTAAAAATAATTAGGGTTTTGACCCCAACTAAGCCTAATTTCAATTTAAAGGGAAAATCATTTTTTTGTCGTTTTTGATTATTTGAGGAAATAAAGCTTAATTAAATAAAAACCTAATTACTAATTAATTTTTTAAGAAAAATAATTAAATTAACCTATTTTTGTATTTTTTATTTTTTGAGAAAAGAAATAAAAATTAAATCAAGAATCTAACCCTAATTTTTCTAATTGATTTTAATTATATAAAAAAAAGTTAGAATTACCCTAAATTAAATTAAACTAATATTAAATTAAATTAGATAAAATAAAACCTAATTCTAATTTTTGTGAAACTCTTGATTTTATTATTTTTTTGGTGAAAAAAAGAAATTGATTTTGGTTAAAAATAATTAAGCTAATTAAATAAATAAAATAAATAAATAGAAAAGAAAGAAAGACGGGCCTGGTTTCTTAGCAAGAAGGGGGGTGTTGTTTGCAATTCCTTAGCCCAACAAGCTCCTGGCCCTTTTGACTTTATTCAATCCTGTATGCATGCTTGACTTAGGCGCCTGGTGGACCTTTAAGGGATAGCCTTGGATCTGGGGTGTTGATGGATGGGACGGCCAGATCTGGATAGTACATGATGGATCCCTTGCCATATGATACACTGGATTGCCCTGAAAATGTTGAGAAAATAAAATGCACACGCTTGGGATCGAACCCAGGACGTGTGCATCAAAGGCCAGCAACCTCACCATCTACGTTAGCTTGTTAGTTGTAATAATAACGAAACAAATAAAATATAATACAAATAACGTTCCATGCCTCCCAAAACGCGCGTAAATTCAAACAAGCCACTCACACACTGCCACGCCATTGTCTTCTTCGTTACTTCTGTGGTTTTAGATAAAAGACTTTTACCTACAGACATCAAGCGTAGGTATAGCCCTTGTGCATTTCTAAAATCATATACACGCATGATAAATGAAAACCAATGGTACCAATCAACCCGTTTCAAGCCCACGAGCATCATGGTACCATTATCATTATCCAATTTTCCCTGTACAAGAAATCCCTAAAAATGAAACACGAACCCTAGCCATGGCAGTTTGATGCACAGTTAATAAAAATGCAATTGAATACAACCATTAGCTTGCAAACATCTCAAGGATTATAAATATGTCAATTAATCATGCTAAATATTCCAGAATCAATGTATTCGAATTCAAGAAAACATGCAAACCGTGTGCCCCTTAAAGAGTGATTCTGAGCATGGGGAGGCTTGCTAACGATTGGAACACGATCCTGGGATGTCCAGCAAACGATTGGTATGATTAGAATGGCTTGAGATGGCCTGAAACTTGGAAATTGGTTTGCAACTTTTTCTTGAATTTTTGAAATTGGTTCTCTGCCTTTGCACCCCTCTAGCCTCTTGCTTTTGATCTGCATTTGTTCCTTATGTATACTAGAGTGTATTAGGCTTCAAGTTTGTATCAAATCTTTTCCAATTACGAAGATTGATCCATGATTTCATCCATGTACCAAATCTTTCCAAAACAAGCAAGTTCAATCTTTTTGTGTCCATATGGAGCCTTGCACGATTTGATTTTGTCTCCAGCTGTGTAATGGACCTAATCATGCACAAAATCTCAAGATTTAATTATTTTTTGATATTTTCATTATTTTATATTGATTTTATTTGATTTAAATGAAATAAAATCAAAATAAATAACAAAAATAAAATAATGACAAGTGGAAGGGTTCATGGGTCGTGGGTTACATTACAAACTCAGTGCAAGCATAAAAAGTTGGGCCCATATTGCAAAAATGCAATTTTGGACACATTTGACTTTTGGCAATTTTGCAAAAAGGGTCAATTTTACCAATGCATAACTCTCTCAATTTTGACCCTAGATAGGTGTTCTTGGACGTTTTACAAAGCTTAAGATGTCCTCTAAGCAACCCTTTTGGTCTCGTCTCAATTGAGTCTTCCATGTTCATGTATGAAGCTTTGACCCAAAAGGTGTTTTTGTTGACTTTTCAAAATGACCCATAATGTCCAAATTCATATCTTCTTGTGAGTGCATATTTTGAACTTGGGAGATGAAGATGAATTGTTGGGAATTACATCCTATTCAAAATGAGATTTGGATGGGTCATTTTTGATAAAGTATGAGAAAGTTATGCTTGGTCAAAGTTGAGTTGACTTTTCCTACAAAACCCTAATTTAGCAACTTTTGGGTTTTGATGAATTGTGAGCAATCCTTGAGGAATAATGATCAACCCTTGATAAAATGATGAATAGTACTTCAAAATGAGAATGTTGACCAAAAATCTTGAAGTTTGACTGTATGTGGGCCACAGTTGACTTTTGCCCTAGCATAGTCGATTTTCAGACCTTTGAGCAATTGACTGAGCAAATTTTCTCTGCAAAGCTTGAAACTTGACATGGATGATCTTGAGAACATATTAGGACAATGGTGAGCATTTGGGATCCTTTGGACTCAAGCAGCTTGATGCAAAATGAAACCCTAATTTGGGGTAGACTGTCTTAGGAGAGAGTTTGTCTGGTCAACCCTTGGACTTCCTTGAGCAATTTGAGGACCTCACTTGACATGCATTGACAAACACGGGAGGGAAAATTTTGTGGTACAACAATTTGGTAAGAAGCCCTATCGTTGGATGTGAAGGGACAAGTGCGGGTCGATCGTATAGTCATAGAAGGCAACTTATGAGACATTTTAGCAATTTTCGTAAGGGACTAAATTGTTTTACCGAAGGCAACATCGAGGGACATCTAGGGACTATGATCTTTTATATCAAAGGGTATTTGCTAAAGCGTCCCACATTTGAGGGACATGACTATTTTTTTCGAGGCAACAAGCGAGGTTACGCTAGAGGTGCGCATGTGAAAAGTGTGCTTGATTCAAGTTAATTTGTCTTTGATTAGGGTTATCTAGTGATTGATTTTAAACTTTGCCATACACGCCTAATTACTATACAATATAAAGAAAAACAGTAAATTGCGGAAATTAATATTCTAGGCTATTACAGAGCTTTCGGGAATGGGGAATACAAATTTACAAATGGGGATGGATCGAATCGTCAATGCAATTAAAAATCTAAATAAGCAATCAATACAACCAAATCGAATTTAATAATTAATTAAAACTAAAACAATCTATGAAACAAAGTAAAAATATGGAAATAAAATTCATGGTATTTTTGTTTATGAGAAATTTTTGAAGAGAAAATAAAAACCTATTCTAGAGGAGAAAATAATTGATTACAAAAAAATTAAATTGAATCTAAATAAAAGTTTAATCATTTACAAAATCTCTAACTAAATTAATTAAGAAAATAAACTAAATAATTTAAGATTTATATTATTGAATTTTTAAAATAAAACTAAACCTAAACTAATATTTATCAAATAAGAATTGGAAAGAAGGCTAAAAGAATTAAGAAAAAACAGAATAAAGGCCCCAACAAGGGTTGAACTCGGGTCACCTAATTTTATAATTGGTATGCTTTGCCAACTGTACTAGATTACTTATTCGTTACTACTATGATTTAATTAAAATGAAAGGGAAAACGGTAGCGGATATTGGTCCAGCAGCCCAATGGGCTGACCCGGCTAGCATTGAATAAAGGAAATGAAATTATAACCCTAATATAGTGAAGGCGCCGCTGGTTTATTGGTCTGTGGAAAAGCAAAACATATTAGTATTGTTGTTTCCCACAAACTCTGTTTCTATCTCATCGTGAAAGCAAAAAAAAAATTGTCTCTCATCTATTCTATGTTCATCTCCTACTCACAACCCACCAGATTCACCTTCTCCGATGTTCCAACGACAGTCTCCACCACCACCAAGATCCACTTTTTTCACGGAAGAAGCTGATACAGATGTATAAAATAGTTAACGCCCAACAAATGCCACCGACATAACTGCAATTTCAACTGATGGGTGGCAGCCATCATCTCAAGGGCCATTTGAAATCGAGATGCCACAAATGGAAGAACCAGTGAGGGTTCCACATATGAAAGTATAGAAGTTGCTGCAGAAACTGTCTCAGAGAGATGCCCGTTCTTGCTGTATTGTCCCCGGTCGATTAACTTAAACATTGTGTTCACAAAGAAAACACTCTCTGATTCTCCAAGATGTTGTTCAGTAGGTCTACAATTTTTTATGCCTGACTGCTCATTCTGTAGACGCTTCTGAAATTGAATCAATAAATGAAACAAAAACCTCTCCAGTGAGTAAGTCTAATGACCACCATTTGAGGGATGATAATATTGTTGCAAAATGTTGACCAATTTCTCAAAGTGTTGTTTTGTGGAACTACCAGGTTTTAGCAAATATACGATTGACTTGGCGATAGCCTTTGCAGGGTTGGATTTAACAAGTATTTTTTGTTGTTTTCTTTTTGCAGGTGGGTGTATGTTGTCGATTCTAGTGGTAATAGACAGAGGGAGACAAAATATGGTGGATGAGTGAGGTTGGTGTTCACCGCAAGCAGAGAAAGACAAAGGGAATAGGTTGTTTACAAATTAAGATCTATGCAGAAAAGGAAAGACAATCTTTCACAGAAAACTTATGATGAAACAAATTTGGATTTAGAGAAAAAAAGTTATGTATGCATTAACAAAGACAAATCTTCTTATTTGTTGTTAGATTTGGAAACTTTGTTCAGAAAATGTTGTGTTTATTTGGAAACTTTGCTCTGTGTACTTTGCAGGAGTTATCTCTTTCAGAAGAAAAAAAACTGAGACTGAGTTTGAGGTTATTCCTCTCTTCTATGTTGTATGTTTTCTCTTGTCTAACTCTTTCTAATGTATGTTGTTTATTTAACCTTCTTGTTAAGTGATGAGAAAACTAGAGAGAATCAGAACCGTTGGTGCGATACGAATGGGAGAACTGACTTGGGTGTTTTACGTTTGATCACAAATATTGCGGTTAGCAAGAGTCGTCACCGACTTTTCTTTTATCCAAAAGGAAAGGTGAAAAAGCACAGGAAATACCTTTGAGATTATTTCTTGAGTTCGAGGGGTAGATTATGAAAAGGGAAGGTATTAGAACCCTTTTCATCCATGGTTTTCCATGGGATCTTAGTTACTTGCTAGATCACTTGCTTTTGTTTGAAATTGTGCTTTGCGTGGTTTTTGAAATTATTTTGTAAAGAGGCTATTGTTTAGGCAAACTTTGTAATGATTCTCGTTCGTAAGAATGTATACAAAGTGTTTGATCTTTTGAAAATGTTTTCATGTTTGTAAGATGTTTGAAAGTGTAGGTGTTTGTTTTTAAAAATAGTAAGGATGTTTTGTTTGAAATTGAGAAAGTAATTAGGAGTATTCTACCTACTCAAAAAGTCTTTCTTGTTCATTTTCCTTTTCCTTTGACATTGTTATCTTACCATTGATTTGGTAAGTAACCCTATTTTTGGATGTAAACAGGACGGGCGTGGGTCATCATATAACCATGATTAGCAATGTTGCAAGGTATCTTAGCATTCTTTTTTAGGGGATAAGATCATTTGAAAGGCAACTTAGATAGCGTCATCGAGGGACTATGATCTTGTATTTGCTTGTTTTTGCTAACATACCTTACATGCGTAATATGGACATTTTGTATAAGGCAACCAAGTGGAATAACCCTAGGGGTGCTTGTGTGCAAGTGTATTGTTTTCATGCTTGTTTTTGTAGGTTTTCTAAGTATTGGTTTTAGTCTTTCCATACAAACCCTAATTACTAGCATTTGTATATAAAAGCGAAAAATTGCGGAATTTAAAGTTACTACGCTATTACAACATTTGTGGGAGGGGGTGTACAAATTGAATGGGGATTGCAAGAATGTAAACCTTGTTAGTCTATTACAATCATATTGAATTAGTATCAATGTATAAGGAATTAAATGAATACCATTTACAAAATGAATAAATGTGCAAAAATGCAAAATGTGAAGTAAATGGATATTTGTTTGGATTTTTTAGAGAAAAGGGATTTTGTCTTAATATAATTAATTAAAGAAAATAATTAATTAAAATTAAAAGTAAACCTAATCCACTAAGAAAAGAAATTAATAAAACCCTAATTCATTAATTGATTAAAGAAAATAAGTTTAGAAAAAGTATTTGTTTTGGTATTTTTGACTTGAAAATATTTATAGTATTATAAAATATTTTTTTCCCTTTTTTAATATAAAAATGATATATTTTAATTGGTGTAAAAGAAAATAACTAATAACCTAGTTTTAATTAAATTTACAAGATAATAAGTAAAAATAAATAAAGTATGATTAATAAAATAATTTTTGTGTGAGAAAAATAAATAAACTAAATTAAAATATAAATCTACTATTTTTGTATTTTTCATGATTTTTTAGTATTATGAAAATAATTAAGAAAATAAATAAAAAGAAAATAAGAAAATAAAAATAAAATTGGGCCAAGGGCGCATAAATGAAATGGGGGGTTAGCCAGCAAAAACAAAAACAATCCAGGCCCAAAGAGGCCCAGTGCCTGCAAAAAAAAAATAAAAGTCAGGAAGCAAAAAATATAAAAAAATCAAAAGGGTACCACTGGGGCTCGAACCCAGGTCCCAAAGGTTACAAGCGCGCACTTCTACCACTAGGGTGGCTATACATCCGTTAACATAAGCAAAACAATAAATATATGATACAAAACGCGCCCTGACTACTTCATCTTCAACCTCCAGCCAGACCAACTGTAACTTGCTCATTTCACATCAAAAATGAAAACTGTAAACATGAAACTTGTAGCAAATTTCCTCACGGTTTCAAAAATGTAAAGCATTAAAACTATAGATCAAAATAAGCATGGATTTTATTGGCCCTAATCTGAACCCTAAAAATCTCAGAAACTTCAATCCTAAAATTCTCTAAGCTCAAGCAAAATTAATGGAAACTATGAACATGGTTAGCTTTAGAGCAATGATATCTACATGTTTTGTTCATAAATAAATCATTAATGATGCTTGTATGAAGAGTTCAAAGTTAAGAAAAGTTACCTCAAAACTAGAAATCATGTTTTGAGTTTGAGCTTGTTTCAAGTGATGGTGATGATCAGGTTAGCTTCCTTGAGGTCCCAGGAATCTAATGCAATGATTAGCTTGAGCAATGGATGGCCGAAATGGTCTGGAGAAGTCAATGTGCAGAGCTCTGTTTTTGAAAATGGAGGATGGTGTTAATGGTGTTACAATTTTGTAACAGGGTGTGAGATCAATTCTATATGATGTTTAGAAGCTTTAGAAACCAAAAGGCCAAGAAACGCACGAGTAGATTATGAGTTTCAAGTTTTTGGTCAGTTTGTGTGAAAATGGAAGTATGAAATGTGTTTATGAGTTTTAGGTCTTTTCAGTGGTCAAGAATTCGTGTCTTTGATGTCAATAGTTTGTGTATGTATAAACAAAAGTGTTTGAGAGCTTTTGACAATCAGAAGTACAAGTTTTTAGCTTTTGGCTAGGTTACTTGATTTTGAAGAAAAAGTGGGAAACAAGTTGCAAGAGGAGGTACAAGCATGGGCTGGGTGATTGTAAGTGTCTAAACCATTTCTCATGAGTTATAAGACTTGTGTGATCAGAAGAGAACAAGTGCAAGGCTCAAGAACCAGTTTTGTGCAAAAAAGTCACTTTATCAAAATGGCAATGTAACCTTTCTTCCAAAAATGGATATAAAGCATGTCCATGCATTGAATGCTTGAAGTGAGACCTCTAACAGCTGTGTAAACCATTAGTTATGGAGTGCCTGAAAAGTTTGAGGCCTGCAAAGTAGTGTTTATGCAGCATAGCTTGAATTTTGAATTTGGTTCATCACAAAATGCCTTGTAAATCAAGTGACAAAACCCTAACTTCATCTCTTCGATTCTCCGTACTCAAAAATGATCTCAAGGATTTCTTGGACATTTTGGAAAGCTAGAAATGTTATCTACAAAACATATTTGAATTGCTTTTGAATATTCCCCTTGGAACTATATGAAAAAGTGTCATGAAGTTGGGTCAAAATCCTGACCAAATTAGGGCAACATTTCACTAAGTGTCTTGTTTCATGACCACATGTTCTTAAAATTATAACTTGAGATCCAAGAACTTTTGGAAGAAGTTGTATGAAGAAAAGTTGTAGATTTCATGGAGATATACAACTTTCATGTTGGAAGTTTCTCTTGAATCATCTTGCATCATGGTGAAAATGTTGCTCAAAGTTATGAAAACATAAGAAATTTTCAACACTTAGAAAAATTTCTAAGTTTAGAAATTTTGACTTTTCAAAACGAAATCTTGACTTTTTGATTTATTGATGAATAAGTTTCATATTTTGAAATGTTTTGATGAATTATGATTTTTGGCACTTGAATGTGACCAAAAAGTCAAAGTTTGACTTTTCAGTATACAGTTGACTTTTGATCAGTTGACTGAAAATTCATCTGTCAATCCTATGGAGTTGCAATGTTTTGAACCATGTCATTAGGTCAAAATGATGCAATTGGACTCTTGAGATCATGCATTAAACCAATTAATCATTTGCTAGGTCAAAAATAAAAAATTGCCATTTCCCAGTCAAAACCCTAATTTTGACCATTTTGCCCTTTTGGAGATTTGATCAAATTTCTTGAGGAATTATGGTCCAAACTTGATAAAATAATACATATGAGTCTAAAATGTTGATGTGGATAAAAAATTATGAAGTTTGTCTGTAAATTGGCCATGGTTGACTTTTTCCTCAATATAATTGATTTTTAGGTCAACTGCTTAATTGATTGAGCAAAAGTGTGATCCAAGGTTTAAAACTTGACATGAGTGATCTTGAGGGTCCATAATGATCCATGAAAGTCATATTGGGCATTGAAAGTTCAAATATCCTTGTGAAATCTCAAACCCTAATTTGGGTCATCAGTGTTTAAGGAGGTGTCTTGAGCTGATCAAACCCTAGTGCAGTCTTGAGCCTAAGGAGATCTTGTGAGCAAATTCTTGATAAATGAGAGGGAAAATTTTGGGGTACAATAGTTGGGTTTTCAAGAGAAGGGTTAGGTGATCGATCAAGGTAGAGTGATATACGAAGAGGTTCGGTGGCGGTTGAAAGCAGGGGATATATGTTAAAGGCTATTTCGGTT